GGGCGAACGCACCAGTGTCACAATGTCGTTCAGCTCCTTGGTCAGCTCCTGGAAGAAGTGATTCATCACGGTCTGGTTGCCCCCATAGCTGCGACGCAGGCAGCTGTGCATGCGCGAGGCCCAATAGACTTGCGAAACGGCCAGCACAACCATTTGGGGCCACTCCAGCACCCACTCGTTGCGCTTCACTGTGGGATAATGGTTGAAGGACAGCTCGCACTCGTATCGCACGGCCTTCAGCATTTCGTCCTCGACGCCAATCAGCCATTTCTCGACGCTGCCGCCGGCAGCTACTGTTGATATCTGTTCCATAAACTTGATGTGCTCCTTGTCGCTGCTGATCATGGCTAGAACGTTCTTGCCGGAATCGAACTCGAGTACGTTGATGCCCTCAAAGCATTTGCTGAGATGCGGCTGGACGCGTAACGGATCCTTGGTCTCGGACAGAATTTCCAGCATTTCATCGTTGGCCAAGAAGAAGAAACGTGGAAAATATAAACGTTTCTTTTCCAAATAGTTGCTCACACCCGTCGATATGTCCTCCAACAGTTCGTTGGCCTTCTGCAGTGACTCCAGGAGGCCAGAGAGTGGCGCCGTCTCCATGACAAGCGGATTGCGCATCACTAAGCCCATGTTGCGTGTGTAGGTCTGTTCGACAATGGTAAAGAGGCGACCCTCCTCTGGCATCTGGGCGACAATGTCCTTGGAGGAGAATATGGGCAGCAGGTAGATATAATTGACCTGCACCTTGCCCCACTGATCCAGCGTTTCATTGACGCGCATGATTTTCTCGTACCAGGCGCGCACTTCCTCCTCGCAGGGCTTCATAAACGCCGAGCCACGCATGGCCAGCGTCTTGAGTATGTGATCGTCCAGCAGCGCCTGTATGTCGTCCAGGCTGGAGAGTATGGTTACGCCCGTCTCCTTGTAGGGACCTGTGGGAAACACCTTGTTCTCCCACTCTTTGATCATCATCTGCAGATTGTTCCACAGCTGCAGCTCCTTATTGGCGCTTATGCTGATAATTTCAAACTGATCGAGTATGCTGTCGAGGCCGGAATTCAGAATTTTACGCAACGTTGTGCCGGCATCTGGCGTTATATCGAATCCGGCTATGTCCGACATCTCCTTCCAGTGGCGCTTTCGCAGCGCCGGATTGCACAGCGTGTTCACGATAAACACGCCAATGGTGAAGTCTTTGATGGACCTGATCATCGTGGCGCACAGGCGCAGCGGCACTGGATGCTTCTCCGGATCAGGATCTTCAGTTTGACCCTAAAATTAAACAATAATAAATAATTGATCCTATTTGTAAGTATAAATAGATCACCTTAAATTTGCAAACGGGATTCTCGACCATGTCCTGTTTGATCTTAATGCGATAATATTTTTGATTCTTTTGAAACTCCTTGAGATAATCGTCCGTCGTCGTCTCCACAAACTTCGGCTCCAAGTACTCAAAGGGTCCATCAGTCCACACGCTCAGATAGCGCTGCCATTCAATGCACAATCTTTAAGATCAGACTTTAGTCAGCTCCAAAAATCATTGAGTTTATTTCTACTTACTTCATTAAGTCGGCAAAGGGATAAACGAAGCCCTTGATGACTTCCAGAGTTGGATATTCGGTTGGGTTAATTTTGAAGAGCTTCTCCTCCTTGTTTATCCAGGCCACATAGTCATCGAATGTCTTCAGCTGATCTATAAAGTTCTGGAGTATGATGTAGCATTCGCGAAACTTTTCCGGCCTGCTCATATCATCGATGATGCCCAATTTGGGCAACATTTCGTCAATGTCCGTGTTTAGCTTCTTTACGACCTCCTGTAGATGCTCCTCGAAGAGGAACTTGTAGTGCTCCTGCTGCGATGCGTTATAATCACAGATTTCGTTAATGTCCTTGATCCAGCTGATTGTCTTGATGGTCAGATCGAAATGATACTTGGACATCTGGGTGAGCTCGACGATATTGGTGCCGACCTGAAGGCAATATTGTATGCGATCCGTGAGCTCGGCCAGCTTCTTCATCTTCACGTAGATCATGTAGTCGGCGCTTTCGAGCAGCTCCTCCGTGGACTTTGGTATCAACAGAGCGCTGTCCTTAATATTCTCGAACTCCTCGCAAATCTCCTCCTCCGCCTTAATGTGCTCACTAATGATAATTGCGGTTATGTCGGCAATCAGGCTCTCGGCCATCGAACGCAGCCCCTGGATGGCCGGCTCGTTGTCGATGATGGCCATCTCGAAGAAGTCCGTTGCCGGTTCGCTGCGCAGCTTGTTGATGAACTCGTAGTAGGTCTCGATGCGGGCAAAGTATTCCTCGAACTGATGCGGCTCTTCCAGAAATTTGGCCAGCCGCCTGCGCTCGTCCACCGAGTAGAGAGCGAAATATTTTTGGCGATAGCCATTGAGGTAGTCCATCAGTTGGCTGTACGTGTTGATAATGATTTTCTGAACTCTGTTAATGACATCCTTGACGGTGTTCTCATTCATTTCGATCTTCAGGTAATCGTTGATCGTACCATAGGTGTTTAGCGTGTCCACTTGCGGCTGGAGCGCCTCCATGCGATAGCCCACCATTGAGATTTCCGTGACAATCTCGCCAAAGGTGGCCTGTATATTGGTAAGACTGGGCCGTATATCAAGGCCGTCCTCCATGTCGTTCCAGCCCAAGGACATGCGAAAAACGGGCATGGTGCGCGGACTAGCGCAAATGCGAAACAATTCCTCAAATGTGCGCATCTTCATGTTGTTCACCTCCCGATTCATCAGCCCCTCCAAGCCGCCCCAAGCGCGCCTCCACACATTCATGGGCATGACACGCTTGCGCATCATGCGCCGCAGCACGGACACCAGCCGAGCGTACCAGGTCCAGCGCAGAAATGTATTCACCCTGTCCAGTTGATTCTGTATATACTTGCGATAGAACTTGTAGGAGAGTGCCTCCCGTCCGCACAGACCCATCTGCTGTTGCTGTGCCCCCATGCTGCCCACGTACTGGAAATTACATGCCAAATTGGGCAATTCGGTGACCGAGATGCTCAGTATGACGCGCATCGGCAGCTGCAGGATTAGCAGCTTTTGTGCGATTTTGCGACGATTCTCGAGATATGTTTTGTAGTTGGCCGAGCGTCCCGGCAGGCTGGAATGGAAATCGGCATGCGGTAGATCAAACTTTGTGGGATCCTCGTCAGCAAATTCGGGATGCTGCAATATGTTCTTCATGCTATAGATCTTCATAAGGCGATCGTATTCCTCGTGCACATCACTCATATATGCCTTGACCAGCTCGGGATATTTGGTTTTGAGTCGGTCCGAGGCAAAGCTCAAAATTTTCGCCTCCGTCTTGCGCAGCATGCGGGGCACAATGATTTTGCGCACCTCACGGCGCAAATTGTCCACATAGTGCACCTGCGGCAGCGGTCGCATCTCCGGCTCCGGCTCCCACGGTTTTTTCGCCACCTTCACCTTAATGTCGGCCGCCCGCTGCTTGAGGAACATATAATGGCGGCGTTCGTGCACCTCGGATATGCGAAATGTGAGCAGCGGGTTCTTCATATACGGCTCATTGTCGTATTTGGTAATGTCCGAGGGGGGGCGATGCATGCGCTCCAGCTTGCGGCTATACATCCTGCAGGCTGCCGGCTACTTTTGCTGCTCGAGATGCTGCAGATCATGTGCAAGATATAATTAAATTATTTATGTTGTTGGGCCAAACATGCAACGATTTAACATTTGATTATAATATCCTGTTAATCGTTACTAAGGCAACTTGAATATGTAGTTTTGTGTTTGGTGTGCGTTGTTTTGTTTTTGTATTTTGTCATTTTGTGTACAAATTGTCGATTGCTGCGCTGCTGGGCGTTAGACGCCATTTTGAAAGTCCCACTCTGCGTTTGTGTGTATGTATTTGTATATCGATATCGATAGCGGTGCCATATCGGTTGAAGGCGTCAGAGGCCATTTTGAAAGTCTCACTCTGCGTTTGTGTGTATGTATTTGTATATCGATATCGATAGCGGTGCCATATCTGTTGAAGGCATCAGAGGCCATTTTGAAAGTCCCACTCTGCGTTTGTGTGTATGTATTTGTATTTATTTAATTGCCGATAACAATTATGATATCGATAGCGGTGCCATATCTGTTGAAGGCGTTAGAGGCCATTTTGAAAGTCCCAGTCTGCGTTTGTGTGTATGAATTTGTATTTATTTAATTTCCGATAACAATTATGATATCGATATCGGTACCAATTCGATTGCAAATGACATTACAGATCAGATTAACAACTCCTTTTTTGTTTTTTTGTTTTTGTTTTAAGCAACAATAATTACAATAATAATTTTATATATATATTTATATGTATGTATAACACTTGTTAAATTGCCTTCAAATATACAATATATTCTAAAAAAGAGAACCCCGAATTGTTTATCAAAAAACAGCCTTAAGTTTATGCAATAAATGTGTTTGAAGGTGTGTGCGTGTGCTGGGATAATCTGTCGTGGTATTTGGTATTGGTAGGCATAAGAATAGCTTTAGGGGGCGATCGTGGGCTGTGCGCATTTCAAGCACAACACGTAAAAGTTATACAATTGAATATAGATTCACACAATACATAATTTAGTTATGAGCGTTTTGAACAATAGATTCGTATAAAAGAAATTGCACATGTTTGATTTTGATGTTTGTTTTTTTTTCGGTTTTTAGGTACGTTTAAGCGTTTATCTTACTTCATAATAATTATTTTATGCATGCGCATATATTTTATATATACTGTAAATACTTTACATATGGTTGTGTGCGTTTGTAATTTAGGAAAATTGCATGTTAAATATTACATAGCTTAAGGGGCAACATAACAATTGCAATAATGATTGGTTTCCAGTAGACTGAATATATATATATATATATATATATATATATATATATATATATATATATATATATATATTGGCAATTGTCAAGCAATTCAAATACTATATATATATATATATATATATATATAGTATTTGAATTGCTTGACAATTGCCGCTTCGAAAAAGTAGCCGAATCAGAGGTTTAAAAAGAGTTGAATTAGCTTTTTAGCACAATTTAGCGATAAAGAGGCCAAAAATCAGCGAACAATTTTAAACTTTTAGCTTTTTACTCTGAGAATAGCTACATTTAGCTACAAAATAGTTGAAGTTATGTCCTGAATGCCTTTGCACTAGTTATCTCTCGAATTGTAGCACATAATCCTTAAGCGGTCCCGGCAAATTCAAGCGATTCACATTCTGCGCCAGCTTCCGATTCATTGCCTCATAGATGGCCATCCGGGCCAGCTGCTTGAGGCTGCGCGGCCGACGATACAGCGTCGAGATTAACGCAATCAATTGTTCGGTTTTCTTGTGCGGCACTTGGGCTACGTAGAAGTTGTGCAGAGACTTGAGGCAATTGTAGAGGGGCTCGTGCTCCATGGTAAGATAGAAGAGATGAATGATGCGCGTGAATGTCGATTGCGGATCGTTGAGTATAAATTCCTTCTTCGTTATCAGTATAATATAGTAAAAAAGCAAATAGCGTGAGTTGGTGCGAAACGAGTTGCGAAACGTGTTGTCGCCCAATGCAGCAGCGGCTCCTCCTCCGCCGCCGCCACCTCCAGCTCCACTTCCTAGCGCCTCGCCGTAGCTGGCAATTTCGCTGGAAAAGATTGCAATGCCAGGCGTTGTCTTGCTGCTGAGCACAATATTGGGATCGGCGCCGTACTGTATAAGCGTGAGGGTCAGCTCATATATGCATTCCATATCCTGGCAAGTTCGCACATTCTGCACCATATCCATAACGGCCTGCAGAATGTGCTGATATGTTTTATTGCAGTCGAGGCCATGCTGCAGCAGTAGCAGCAGTATGTTCTTTATAAAGTCAAAGTTTGTGCGTTTCTGTGCATCACAGTTAAGCGTAAAATTTTCGCTGACCGTAAAGACCAGCACGTGCAACGGTTTCAAGTTCGCCCGATACGAACAGTTCGGATTGGCGCCATGCTGCAGCAATATCCGTATGCAGTTCAGATAGCAGACCTTGAAAAGAAACAACATATAGAGTGGAGTGTGTGCTGGAAGAGTGTGGAATACTTACCTTCATTGAATGCGTAAAGTGATGCAGATGATCCTTGTTGATGAGCGGCACCAGCAGCACCATTATGGGCACTGAGCCGTCGCGGCCGACAATGTTGGGATCACCTGCAGAAACAATATTAACCAATTGCCTTTAATATCAGTTTTGTTTTTGTAAACGCACCGTCCTCTTTGATAAGCATGTTGAGTAGCTCGTAGCAGACCTCCCAGTCGCGCAGATGACGAAATACGCAGGCCATGGCGCTGTTGCCGGCCTGATTGATGGACGGCTTGGCGCCGTTTTGCAGTAGAAATCTAACCAAATGCAAAACATCCCATTTGCTCCACTTGTCGTAGCCATAGCGTGCCTCCTCCAGAGCATAGCGCACGATCAACGCATGCAGCGGCGTATTGCCCAGCGTGTCCGGTGCGTTAATCAGCTCCTTGCAGCCGCGATCAAGCAGAATGCGCAACGTTGCCTGCGTATCCTCCGCCGATTTTCGGGCAGCAAAAATTACTACAAACAAAAAGAGTATATTAAAAAAAGCATACTTAATTAAGCGAACAGTCGACTTGCCAACATGCAGCAGGGTCATCTGCTGTGTGCACGTCCGGACTGTGGTAATGGCGCCGTGTTGTATGAGCAGCTCCAGAAAGCGTCCGTCGTGGAGCACAGCATGGTGTATGGGATAGTATTCGTCCATGATCAGGTTTATTTCCTCGGATCGTGTCACGACCAGCTGCTGGACACAGTTCCACGCGCCTCGCTCGCATGCCAAATGCAGCAGCGGCTTCTTGGCCCGAAATGGTATCCATGGCTCCTCCATCTTCTGCGTCATCATGCTAAGCACATTATACTGATCGCCTAAAGAGAGAGAGTGTGTTTAGCAGAGTAAAATGAATTGATCAATTAATTAATTAATTGACAATACCGTCGATCGCATAGCAGAGGGCATTCTGCAGCTTGGTGTTCAGCCGTTCGCTGACATCGTCCACGTTGCTGTGCCACTTGCCGCTCTCCTCGCAGTTGTGCGAATGTGCGCCCGGGAAGCACATGCGTGTATCGGCATCGATGCGTGCACCATGTCGCAGCAGCAGCTCCACACACTCCTCGTAGCCGCGCAGCGTGGCTATGTGCAGGGGCAGGGAGCATGGCGCCCGGTTGACATCGGGTCGATGGCGATGCAGCAGCCATTTGGTGAGATCGATGTGATTGAGTCCAACGCTGCGCTGCAGTATATTGTAGCCACAATCGTCGTGTATATACAAGATATTCTCATTTTTGGGTATCTGTATCAGCAGACTTTCAAGCGTTTGTAATGAGATTTTTGGATTTGCACGCAGTATTTCGAAAAGTGTTTGAATTTTCTCTTCCGTTGCCTTGGACACTTTGTGCCCATCCCGATGTGACAGCAGAGCCGAGCCCGAGCGAAACACCTGGCTAACCTGGCCGCCCATATCTCTGCTCTGGTCGCAGACCGTATCCTCCTAACCCGCCCGCGACAGCGTCTCACACCAAGGGAATGACTCGGGTGTGTGTTTATTTCGATGCAGCGATCAATGTTGGTTTAAGCAGCTAATACCAGTTCGGCTGCATCTGCATGTTTGCAACGCAGTTTCGTGTCGTGTGGCTCCTGCGAACTGCACGAAACAATAATAATAAACAATGCGTAGCGACCAGTCTCCGGCGGAGGCAAAGTAAAAATCAATAAGGATACGAGCTTTCACGCGTTCACACAAATCAGCACTTGGCACTACACGCGCTCAGCACTTTCTTGTTCCAATTGTAGTTAAACATCTTCCTTGTGTGTTTGTTGGTGGAAATCATTGTTTGAATGCATTTAAAAGCGTTTTTTTTACAAACACCCAAAACTTTTTCTACGCTGCAAATTGTAAACGAGTTAATCTGTCTCTATCAGCTGGTCGGCCAAAGACTATCGATACTCTGTTCGTCCAGCCCTGGTACATATCGCTAATCATAGCATCGATGCTTTTGATAGTCTAATCGATGGTGTGTCATCCCTAATGTACTCCTGTGTTTTGTTGGCGCGTAAATGCTATTTGTGCATTAGACCAATTATTAAATAAACATGGCTAAGCGCTTAAATTGTCACTACGAGAACCTGAGCAGCTCGTACCTGCTGCAGCAAACCGACTATCAAAAGCAGTTTTGCCATCTGTATGCACATCGCTTGGCTGAAATGACGCGCCTGCTGACGCCGTTGGCGCAGACGAAGTGGGGCAAACAGGTGCCAATAATGAAATTGTGCGAGCTGCGCGGTGAGCAAAACGTCCAATGCATTATAATTGGCACAATCTACAAGCATCAGGCACACAAGCCCAGCATTTTGCGTGACATCTCTGAAGAGAATCAACTGGCACCACAGCCACAGCGCCAAAACTACTCCGAGCCCGAGGACAAGATTATTTTGGAGGACGAACTGCAGCGTATACGATTGCAGGGTGAGCAGCTGGAAGCGCGCAATCTGGCCACTGGCATCGTTTGCGCCGTCAAAGGCGGCACCGACAATGACGGCTACTTTAATGTCGAAGAGGTGCTCTTTCTGGAGAGCGGGCCACAGAAGCCGCTGACTCCACGCACGCCGGGCACCAAACTGGTTGTCGTTTCCGGCTTGGATCAGCTGCAGGCACACAACTATGTTGATGCATTAAACATGTTCCAGTACTGGCTAAGCGGTTGCTTTGCCGCGAATAACCGCGAAGCTCAGGCCACGGTGCGGCTTATTGTAGCCGGAAACTCCGTGCGCAGCACAGCTCTGGCACACGCGCCCACACTGCAGGTGGCACGGAATCAGGCGAATGCGAACGACACTGTGCAGGCGGTTAGCCAACTGGACAGTTGGTTTGTATCGTGGGCACATGCACTGACCGTCGACGTTATGCCCGGTGCCTACGATCCGGCTAATTTTATGCTGCCCCAGCAGCCCTTTCATAAATGCATGTTTCCGCTGGCCTCGCAGCTATCGTCCTTTCAATCCGTATCCAATCCCTATGTCTGTCGGCTGGACAGTGCGCTCGTGGTTGGCACTGCGGGCCAGAATGTCGCCGACTTGCTGCGGAGCACATCGCTAGACTCTTCGCTTCAAGCACTGCGCTGTACGCTCAACTGGGGCCATGTGGCGCCCACGGCGCCGGACACGCTCGCCTGCTATCCGTACATAGGCAGCGATCCCTTTATAATGAAGGAGTGCCCGCATGTGTACTTTGCCGGCAACTGTGAGTCCTTCGAAACCGAACTCCATGTCGGCACCGGCGGAAAGCGAACGCGTCTCGTCTGCGTGCCCAGCTTCTGCAGGACGCAGAGCGTGGCGCTCATCGATTTGGAGACCCTCGATTGCCGCCAGATTAAGTTTAGTGTGGAATCCGAATAAATATCCATTTCCGTGTTATGTATAAAATTTGATGTGTTTTATTTTGAACTAAGAACTACGATTTCAGTCAATGCACAACCGGTCCAAGCGGCTCGCCGCGTATGTTCGCCAAATCCAGTCGGGAGTCGACGGTGTCATCTATCAGGCCGATCACTGCTATATTGTCGCCTCGGATGATGTGCAGGCCGAGCACGATCTGCTCGATGCCCGACGTTGTGGAAAAGACGCGCTCATGGCACTCATCTATGATGATGTTGATGGTCTGATCGAAGCCTTTCAGCGTGCCTATGAAGTTCCGTCCATCCGCCGTGATAATTGAGACTGTGTGGTTAATGTACGACTCCAAACCGGACATTTTGTCTGCTCTTCAAGAGATATTTTCCAGTTTTAAAACAAACTAATGCGAATGTTCGCCTGCGTAAAACGTTTGGAATTGGAAATATAAGTATCGAAGTATCGATACAAATATGTCATCGGTTGCAAAGCAGCTGTTCTCCGTTCGCCTTCTGCTCATGGTACTCATCAATAATGTTGTTGGTCTGCTCGAAGCCTTTCAGCGGGCCGTCCATCCACAGTCATAATTGAGACTGTGTGGTTAATGTAGGACTCCAAACCGCATATTCTATCTGCTTTTCAAGAGATTTTCTCAAACTAACGCAAATGTTCGCCCGCGTAAAACGTTCGGAATTGGAAATATAAGTATCGAAGTATCGATAAAAATATGTTATCGGTTACGGAGCAGCTGTTCTCCGTTCGCCTACTGCTCATGTAATCGAAGGGGAGAGATTTTTGCTTTGCATTTAAATAATAATTAATAAATAAAAATGCTACGCCGACTTACACAAATCAGTGCCAGACAACTGGTGCGCGCACAGTCCTCGTCTGCGCAGAGCGCCAACGATAAGTGGGATCTGTATGCTGGTGTCCTGGTCGAACGGCTGCCGGTGGTAACCAAAACTTTGAATCCATTGGAGCGACAATTCCAGGACATGCTGTCCCAGGTCGAGTACGAAAACAGTCTTAAATCGGACTTTGAGCTCAAACACGAACGCGACATGCTGCAGACTGAGCTGATTAAGCAGGGTAAAGCGCAGGTGGATCTCGATGACTCGGTCGCCAAGCAAACCGCACAAGATCTGAAAGATGCCTACACCGAGGAACTAAAGAAGTTCCAATTCGCCCCGCGCACTACGCCCGACGACGCCGCTAACGTGACCACCTCAACGGATCGCTGCTTGGAGGACACACTGTATCTGGTGGTGAAGCAAAAGCTTGGCCAACAGGAGCATTTGGTGCTGCCGCAGGGTCTGCGTCAGGAGGGCGAATCCATGCGACAGACAGCGGAGCGTGTGCTTCGCGAAAAATGCGGCACAGATCTGCAAGTGTTGTTCTATGGCAATGCGCCTGTCGGCTTCCACAAGTACAAATATCCGAGCAAGCAGCGCACCGAGTGCTTCGGTGCCAAAATATTTTTCTACCGTGCCTCGCTGCGAGCCGGCAATGTGGATGAGAAGCAAACGCCGCCAATTCCATACGAATGGCTGCCCAAAGATGTGCTCCAAGCAAAACTGAATACCGCCTATGCGGAGAGCATAAACAAATTCTTAATTTGATTCAATTTATCTTTGTCCTGTTTCAAGTAGTTTAATAAACATGTTTTATCATAAATATTTGCTGGAACTTGATGAAATATCTTGTATTTTTATACGATTTTTTTGTTAGATCAGCTTTAGGAGCTTAAATGAAATATATTTAGACTCTCCTCGAGCGGATCGTCATCTGTTCCCATTCAAAAATCTTTTAATTTACAATTTAGCTCAATTGTTCGAAAATAAACACATTTGCATATAACATTTGTAAGACATGCAGCAATATAATTTTTATTTGCAATTTGTTGAAGTGTAAACACGGGCAAATAGTTATATTTTTTATGTTTATCAAATATTTTTTTGGATATTTTACCACTTGCATTTCGTTTATATAAACTGGAAAAAGGCTTTCGTATTATTGTTGTGAATTCAGTATCTCAAATTTGAACATGTTTCAATTACAATTACGCGCAACATTTAGAAAGTTTTGGGTAATATATATAGAGCAAAGCTATCTGTTTTTTTTTTAAGCATTTTTATATATTGATTATATAGACTGAGACTACGTTTCAACATGTCGAAATTTAAGATACCACTTGGGAGATAGAGGAATACAGGAATACGGGAATACATAAATGCAAAAGCTACCAAAGGTAAAAGTGCTCGATTATTGTATTGTTTTTTGGGTTCATTGTGGCATTAATTCTTAAATAAGCATATTTCTGCTGACTTAGATACTAAAAATGATCGAAAATAATCGTGTAAATATATGTTTATAATTTTTTTGTTTCTTTTTTTTTTTAGAAATAAGTTGTTAGACATTTTCTCAGGCGCAACGCAATTTAATTCTGGAACAGCGTTCGCGTGAAATCGATGTAATCTAAAGCATCTTTGATGGGCTGGCCAGAGCGCGGTTCCGAGAAGGGTTTCATGCGCTGCACGCAGTAGTCCGCCATGTCCTTGGTGAGGTTCTGTGCGAGGAATAAGGTTAATTTTCTGTCTAAATGTGCAGCTGTGTAACTTACGCAGTAGAGCTCTTCCTTGGTGACGTAGGGGCGGTCGGCGGCGGTGATGGCGCGGAAGGCATTCTCGATTTCTTCGTAGGACTGCACGTTCTCAGTTTCCTTGGAGATCATGAATGCAATATACTCCTGCAGCGAGACATAGCCATCGCGATTGGGATCGACCACATCGACAATAGCCTCAAATTCGGGATCGGGTTGACCCTCCTCAACCATGGGCAGATCGTAGCCGAGTGCGCGTAGACATGATTTGAACTCTTGATGGTTTAGTTTGCCGCTCTTGTCCTTGTCGAAGTGCTTGAACATCATCGAGAATTCCTTGAGCGAATCCTCCGAGACGCCCGAATGGTTGCGTGCCTGTATCTGTTGCTCCAGATTGTGCTGCATGCGCATCGACAACTGATCCAACTGATCCCATTGCTGGGCCAACCCCACAGTCGAGTGTTCCGTGTAGCGATTATCCAGTATCAAGTGCTCCTCGAGCAAGGCGCCGAGTTCTTCGATTTTCTTCAGATCAACACGACGGGCACGCACCTCTGTGGCCTTGACGCGAAGCGCCTCCAATTGCTGTTCCAACGAACCGGAGCCTTCCATCATCGATGTTCTGCGTGCACGTGGAAATGTTTTTGTGTAAATTTTTGTGTTTGAAATAGATTGAGGATCGTTAGTAAGGCACGACAAAGTACGCTGGATTATTATGAATAAGAAAAGCAAATCTTGTTAGAGGTCTGTGGTTAAGGGCGGCCGTTTTTTAAATCTTTTGGGTCGTCTGACCAAATTGTTATCCTTTATGTTCATATATACAGGTGTCAGGTGTGTGCGTGTGTGGAAATGCTTTGACCTATGACACAAGCTGAACTCGTAACTCGTAAATAATAAAATTAATTTCTTTTTAAAGCGTCGTGTCATCGGCAAAAACATTTCAGTTAACGCGAGAGAATTTTTGGAATATATATTCAGCAACTAATAATGTCGAAACATGACTAAAAAAAAGCGAGTTGAAAGAATAAGCCAAATATTAAGTTAAAGCTACTTGAACAAAAACGAATGCATCTTTAACTAGTTGTATTTTCTGTATGCTACAATTTTACATGCTGCGTATCTTTCGAATATGGAAAAGAAATTTTAAATCGATTGTTTTAAAAAGAAATTTGAGAATTTTGTGAGAATCGAAACGCTAAATCGATTGATTAATCAGGCTGTTAATACAGCAATTTAAACTAGAACTAAATTTGAAATATTTGCTTAAAATATATTTACAAAGCGAGGGCAGATCCCGCCCGCTTAAAATTATCTAGAAATATATTTATAGTTAGTGGAGCAACGCAGCTTGGTTAAACTTTTAGCTTTTGCAACGACAGAAACGGAAACAAAAGAAATGTAAACGCAGTAAAGTGGGGGAAAGTGGAAGAACTGCGTCCGTAGTGGGGGGAGAGACTTCTTAATTACCCTTGACGATTATAACCCAGCATATAATATCTAGAAGAACAGAATTGGAACGTTTCAGTTACGCGGCATTAATGGGAAAATGACGACGAAATTACGCGCGGGAGACCACAAGAGTTGTTTTCGTTAAAGGGAAATCTTTCGTGCCAAGATTTGGCTGGAGGAATCGGATACCAACAAACACGCTGTGGGAGAGATCTCACCTCGTTTCGGTTAGCCACTGGTGGAAGAGATTGGCGTGCTTGGCGAACTCCTTGCGCAGCTTGTCGTTCTCCTCTTGTCGCTTGGCCTCCTTGGCCAGTTCGCCATCGCGTTCCTCTATGATCTTTTGCAGATTACGCCAGGTCTCCTCAAGAGCTTCCATGGTGAACCATGTGTACGGATTTGGTCCAACATTAAAGCTCTTGATCTTCTGGTCGAGCGCTGCCAATGCCTTAAAGTCAGCTTCGGCCGATGAGAGAGACGCCTGGAATTGTGCGTGGGCGTCGCGCAGTGCGCGAATTTCTTCGATCGAATTGCAGCGAACCGGATCGGTGAGATCCTCTTCGGCATTTTCGAACCAAGAATTGAAGGCCGAAGCTTTCTTGGCAAATGTCAAGTAGAGTTCCTCGATTTGGCGGAACTGCTCCTGCATGGCCAGCAATCGCTGCTTACGCGTATCGCTCGCATCCCGCAGCTTCTGCCAGCGGGCAATTACGTCGCCGTGACGCTTCAGTATGGCCGGCGATTGGGCGTGGCTGGCATTGATCAGCTGATCCTTCAGAGCGCTAATGTTGTGTATGCCTTCCTGCTCAAAGGCATTGAGACCTGCATAAACAAAGGGATTAATATATAAGTGTGACAGGAAGTAGGTCGCGCTGCTCACCTGCATCGAATGTCTCCTGCTTGGTGAGTAGCGTCTGCACGGTGGACAGATCACGTCCGTATTCGTCGGAGCGCACATAGTTCTCCTTGTCGTCGATCCAGCTCTCGACCACATCGGCCTTCCACATGAACTGCAGATACGCCGAGTTGTCCAACAATGCTCCCTTGCGACGCGCGGCCAGCGCGTTGAGGTTCTCCAGCTTGTTGCGCAGCTGCTGGCAGCGCTGGCCAATGGATTCGCCGTGATGGTTCTTGGCCTCGACCAGGTCGCTGCCTTGCTCGCAGATCAGCGAACAGCGATCCTTGTGGGCAGCGAAATCGGTCTCGAAGGCATCGTGCTTCTTCAGCAGACCCTGGACGGCGGCCATCGAGTCGCCGTAATCCTCCACAGAGAGCAGCTGCTGCTTTTCGGTTATCCAGGCTTCCTCCTCCTCGACCTGGGCCAGGAATTGCTGATAGGTCAGCGACTCGTCCAGCTTTTGGCCACGCGTAGCAGCCAGATTCTTTAGCTCGGACCAAGCCTGATTCAGCGCCTTGAGGCGCTGCTCAATTTCCGGCACGCCCAGATTCGAGACATCCATCAGCTTCTCACCGGCCTCCTGGACGGCCTGTATGGCCGGCTCATGCGAGCCAAGTTCCGCTTCGAGGCGCTTGTGCTTCTTCTTTAGGTTCTGAACGCCGGTCAGATCGCGTCCGTAATCATCGGAGCCGACCAGCAGCTTCTTCTCCTTGATCCAGCTCTCCTCGTCGGCAATGTCGCGGAAGAACTGATGCAGCGTGAGAGCCTCGTTGAGGCGGGCCTGACGATGGGCGGCCAGATTGCAGATGCGCTCGTAACGCTCGTTAATGGATTGACGCTTCTCCTGGATGCCAGCAGTATCGAATTGACCGCTTTCGACCAAGGAATCGGCCTGGTTGTTCATGTCCTTGATGCGGTCTTCGTGCGCAACGATATCCGCTTCGACCAACTGATGTTTCTTCATGAGGTTTTGGACCGATGCCAAATCCTTACCAGAATCCTCAGTGGTCAACAAACTCTCGACCTCGCCCAACCAGAAATCCAAATCCTTGACAGCAGCAATATACGTGCGCTGCTTATTGGCCTCCTTCAGCTTCAGCGACTTCTCCGTCGTCTTATGCGTCAGATATTCCCATTGATCGGCGATTTGGGTGAGACGCTTCTGCACGGCATCCTCCGAGCCGCTGCACTGTTTCTTGTCAATCAAATTGCCGCCCATCGCCAGGACGCTCTGTATGCGATCCGCATTGGCGGCAAGCTCCGCCTCGAAGGCCTGATGTTTCTGATGCTTCGACTGTATATTGGCCGGATCCTTGTAGCTCTCCTCGGTGGCCAGCTGCAGCTTCTCGGCTATCCAGTTCTCGATCTCGTCCGCATCGCGGGAGAACTGCTGCAGCGTCTGCTCGTCGCCCAGACGTGAACGCTTCTCGATCAGGCCCTCCTTGAGGTGACGCCAACGCTCGAGCACCTGCTTGCGCTTGTCATCCACCAGATTGGAGGCATAATGATTCTGGGCAATGAGCTGATCTGCCACCGTTTGCAGCGCGGCTATCTTCTGTTCATGTCCGTTGATCGCCTTGTCAAAGTCCTCGTGCTTCTTGATCAACGCCTCGACATTGCCGCCAGCATTGGCATCGTCGTCCGCATTGAGGAATGCCTCGCGGGCCGACATCCACGACTCGGCCAATTCGCAGTCGCGCATATACAGCTGCAGATCGAGATTCTGCTCCAGCTGCAGACGACGCTCGGT